ACGACACGCTTGTGATGGTGTGGAAGGAGAAGTACAGACACCCGACCTCCCAGAGTGAGAGAGAGAGAGAGAGAATTACTATGCCGTTCAATGATGGACAGAGGGGGAGGCATACCTGGACACCATTGTCGATGGGGTCCTGCCATACGATATGTTTGAAACCAATGTGTTTGATTGTGTCGATCAACCTCTCGGTGTAGTACTGCTCCACTTGCGAGACATCGGTAAACGTATTATTGATCATAAACTGCCAGACATGTGGGTTAGAGCGCCAGCAGTCGTAGTAGACCTCATCCATGCCTAAGTGGACGTATCGGTCGCGGAACACCTGTCGCACCTCCTCGAAAAATATCTTCATAAAATCATACGTATAGTTTTGCATCGGGTTCAGTATCTCGGCCTCGGCGTGCTTGTTGAATTTGCTGGTAAATGGCTGGTTGTCGCCGTCCCCGTAGCACGTGGTCAATAGTGCCGGGAATGCCTTCCCGAACCCCTGGGTATGCCCTGAGAATTAGGGTTAGGATTAGTTTTTAAATTTTTTTTGTAGATTGTGTTTTAATATAAATTAAATGTTTTTAGTTTTAATGGTATTTCTTATGAAATGATAACGAAATTATTTTTCGTAATGAAAAAAGTTTGTTTTTGAAATTTTTTCGTGATATAAATAGATATTGATTTTTATTAATAGAAATTTTTTCATTTATTTTGCAAACTGTTTGCACGAATGTACGAAATAAAAACAAGAAAAACTATCTATGTAGAGATTAATTACCATAAATATTTTAAATAGTTTTATATATAGTGTCCNAAATAGATATTGATTTTTATTAATAGAAATTTTTTCATTTATTTTGCAAACTGTTTGCACGAATGTACGAAATAAAAACAAGAAAAACTATCTATGTAGAGATTAATTACCATAAATATTTTAAATAGTTTTATATATAGTGTCCATGTTTGGTTTTTGGTCGGGTAGAGTAATTTCTCTGTGGCTATATTTGGGATACCTTAATGATATTTTCAAAGTTACTATAAAATTAAATTATCTCTATATTTGCAGACATGAAGACATGAAGGTTAATACTTAACAGAAATGATTTATGATAAATTGCATACATGTAATTGTTAGTGTAATTATATATTGTATTTTACCATATTTAACCTATACTTTACTAATCATGGTATAGATTGTATCTCTAAAGCAATTCAATAAATATTTAGTAACTAATAAACAAACGATTGTATGGTTTGAATTGTCAAGTATTTACCCATCATTGAAGTAATAGAGCACAAGGTATTAAAATTGAAGTGCATTTAATTCATACATCTCAAAAACTTATAACATGGTTATAATTCTGGGACAGCTATTTCCCTATTACTCCGACACACATATCATAACAACTAAATACCAAAACATAGATATAATAAACATAAAAATATATTATCTATTGTTAGCCAATAGGCCATCAAAAATGCCATAAAGTGCTCATCAAATTATATACAGTTATCAGCAAATAGTTAGCAAATTATGCATAAAAAATATTGTGAAATAACATACATAAAAATATATTATCTATTGTTAGCCAATAGGCCATCAAAAATGCCATAAAGTGCTCATCAAATTATATACAGTTATCAGCAAATAGTTAGCAAATTATGCATAAAAAATATTGTGAAATAACATCAAACAATAAAACACAAACTAAAGTTTAGTTACTAAACCAAACATCACACGTAAAAAATCAAAAAACAAACTCACCAGGGGTGTCAAACTCGGGTATAACCCTAATGCCCCGATATCTAGCATATTCAATAATCTCAGCGATGTCTTTCTGGGTGTAGACATGTCGGGCACTATAAGCGCCCTTTTGGGTCAACTCCGGGAATATTTTGCTCTCATAGGGAAAGGACTGGTCGTCGACGATATGCCAGTGAAACACATTAAACTTATTGTAGGCCATGGCGTCCAGATTGGCCAACAGCACATTCTTAGGCAAAAAATGTCGGCTACTGTCCAGCATTACGCCCCGGTATGTAAATCGAGGCCAATCGACAATACGGGTGGCGTTCACCACCAGTTCCCGATCGGCGGTCACCCAAATCAGTTGACTTAGTGTCTCGAGTGCTTTGATGGCACCCCATATGGTGTCCGCCCGGACGCGACCCACAGTCGACGACTCAAACGGTATGGATATCTCGTAGTACTCGTTGTCGTTGTGTTGAGGATATATTTGGTTACAGTCGGCGATGGAGTCTATCTGCAGATGAATACTCTGGAGCGATAGCAGAGAGCTGTTCCGCCGGTGATCGCCGGACCGATGGTGCGATTCTTGGTATTCCTCCACAGCTTTGAACAGTGAGTTAAACTCGTCGGACAGTCTGTTAAGACTTTCGCCCACAAGAGTACAGTTCTCGGCATTACTGGTGATGAAAAATATCTTGGGATCTAATAGATAGGTGTACGCGGATTTGGTCCATCGTTGCGGTAGTGGCCATGGTGATCCCGGTGCCGCACGTTCACCCTGAGTAATTTAATTAGTATTTTTTATTATACATTTGCAATAAATTTTTGATTTTTCGTTTACTTGTAGCGGATATTTGGACTCAATATAAGTGATAAATGCATTGCATTTGTGGTTAAGTATAGTTAGGGTTAGTAATGGCAGAAAGTGGATGAAAATTGAGTTCATTATAACGGGAGAGACCACTACTGTTGTGATGACACTCTACTGAAGTAATAATAAAAATTCACACACAATAGAGAGACACACTTTTGTCGTACACTAATCGCTGAGGTTTTGAATGTATGATTACAAGTGAGAGAAAAATGAAAAAGATAAAAATAAATAAATTTCACTACTATTGTAATTAATGTGAGTATCGTTTTCCAACGCTCAATGCTTTGGCAATTAATAATAAGAAACTTTTTATAAATTTAAACTTAAAAGAGGAGAAAAACTTTTATTTTTCATTTAACAACACATTCCCTGTAATTGTTTTCCTACTAAATGGTGAAAAACTAGATAAAAAAGTGAAGAAAAAACACTTTTGTTTGCCTCTAAAGAGTGGAGGAGAGGATGGATGGGCTGACGAAACGCAAACTCAGGCACTGCTCACTGAAGGACAGTTGCCTTCGATGTCCTTTTTATTTTGTTTTTGTATTTTATTTGCTTTTCATTTCAAGAAATTTAATAAT